CGAACATGGTGCTTCAAGAAAAAACTATAATAGCAACCATCTAATTGATTGGTCAAATGATTTCAAATTGAAGTGATTTTTTTTGCAAAGATGATCTTTGAATGAATATCTATAAATAGATAGTTCAAATTAGTGAAAAATAATGCGGAGTGGGCCCTACAAGGGTGTCCTTCAAATAAGCTTATTTGAGATATATCTCAACTGAAGCTCTCTGTGTGCTTGCACGTGCTGAATTGAGAGTTGAGTCTTGAAATCATATACATTACTAGATGATGTGTCATAAGAAATGACAATTGTCTGATATTTCAAAGTAAAAATGCTTAAAGACTAAGAGGCAATGCTACCATTAAGAGAAGAGGGGTAAGGTAGAACAACCATTTCAAAAATAATTCTGGGAGCAAATAATTGCACTCCAATAACAAGATGCCACAATACTAAAAAGTAGTTACATGGGCCAAATTGCCCTTGGCAAAGGGAAAGAGAGGATGAGGAGCATCCAATAAAGCATTAAATGAAAGTAGTTGGGATTATTGCCCTAAAGCTGACAGTGGTCGCAAGGCCTTTGCTTGAGCCCAAATTGGCCATGAAAGCCTTGCAAGGCCTTCTTTTTGGCAAAAGCCCATGGACAAGCAAGTCCAACACGGGCCTAGACGCATGTTTGATCTAAGCGTAGATCAGATAAGGCTTAAGGGGATAAGCTTAATAGGACTTATCCTTAGGTAGCACGCCACTAAAGGATCATCCCAAAATCTTGGAGATCTCCTTAATAACTACAATAATAATAATTAAGGAGATTATGCTCATTGACTTTGGGTAAATATCTCATACATCCCAAGTCAAACGGCTAATTGACTTGACATGCGCATCAAGGGGTCATCACATCCTCCAATCCACGTAAAACACATAGCTTCCTCCCACGATAAATCTGCTACCAATGAGCCAAATATAAGCCAAATGCTAGAATTTTTTTTTTTTGATTCCGTAATATATTAAACATAAGTCCATCAAATGACTTGGTTTATAACTTTCTCAATTATGATTACCTACAAGAGTGGAATAAGCATGAAACTAACTAGATTGTATTGGATTGGATTCTCAAAAGCAAATTCGTCATCCTATCCAGGGGCGGCCCTGAGGGTGTGCAAGTGGTGCCACCGCACAGTGCCCCTGATTTTTTAGGGCCCCCGAATTTTTTTATGTGTATAATATATATATATATATTTAGCGAGCAAATTTTTGACACAAAGACATTTCTAGTTGTATTGGTTTGTAAGACCTCAACTTCCATTCAGGACACGACTTCAAAACCCGCTTGTGTAGATCAATCATAGTTTTAGTTCTTTTTTGGTTTTTTTGGTAACAACAATTAATAATCATAATAATTAAAGGCAAACACGTTATTTTCTGTTGTTTGTGCTTGATAAATCATGGTCGAACATTGACCGAAGGGGTTTTCCCCCCTCGGCCTCAGCACCTATTCGCGATCCAAAATGCGTCGCTTTTGCCTTCCTCAAAACAAAGGGAAAGTTGCAAAGGCATAGTCATCTCGGCTTTACAACCACGGTATCGTCAGGCCGAGGCCAAAGGACGAAGGGGACACGGCCGAAGATATTAAGAGTCAAATCGTCGCATGGCAGCAGGGTCCCACGCTTCATTTAATGAAGTAACGCCTCTGACTAGCAAACCCACTGGCTGCAAAAGGGCATTTAATGCACGAGGGAAGAAGGGAAGTGACTGAAGTCAGGATTTGATGACAGAAATCCGAGTGGTTAGGCGCAAACATACTTACCAATATTCTTACAAATTGAGGTCAGATCACCAACCACCAAACAAGGGCATTAAATGCGTCCCCACGGCCAGAAGCGCAGAACCCACGATCAGGGCGGCGGCCGAGATTTACCAGGATTCATGGGGTCACACCACCATGCTTCACGATCCCAAATGTCGATTGGACTACCCACTTGCTCTGATCAGGCTCCACCATGCAGATTTTCAGCCTTGATTACTCCTCCAAGCGCTCCTCCTATAAATACCAAGTTCAAGCTGCATTCAAAGGGTTCAAACACCAAACCAAAGCCTCCCGCG